ATCATTGAAGGAGAAGGAAGAACCTGACTTGTATCAAACTTGGGACTCTTTTTATTATTGGCCAGAGAAACGGGACTTCACGTAGATTTAAATATGTTTTTAAGTTATAAATGGAAAAAGAAGGGTGTGGGGGCTGACCCAGCGGGCTCCATGTTTTTGATGATGGATGTTGTTTGTAGTTTTCTTTTTGTTTTTTTTTTTTTAGGATTATAATTTCAAATAAAACTTATTTAAAAAAAAACAGGTCAAGTCAACCCAACTCAGCTTGTACATCCAGGCTTGAGTAATACTGCCAGTTTGTCCACCTTTGAGTAGTGCTGCTCATTTTATTATGGACTGTTCTGGTATTTAACAATTGCAGCCATAAATGGGGTGGGGAAGCTGGCAGAGCCACCTGGATCTTGACGGGTGGGAGAGGGGTAGATTGCAGGCATCCATGCCGTACTTTCCTCACTCCGTTTGTGCAGCCCCAACACAATACTCTTGCCCCTGAGCTGAAAAATGCACCAAACCAAAACCTCTCTCCCCTCTGCATGTCACAAACATGTAATCATAAGGCTACTTGCTAGGGTAAACATGCCTAAGAGAGTCTTGAGGTGTGGTTTGTCACTGTGACCAAAGCTAAGTGTGTGAGTCAGACTTCAATTTTTGTTTGTAGGCTGCTTTGCACCCAACTATTTTCTCTATTTGTAAGAGAAGGGAGAATGGACTCTAGGATCTGGTATGGTCTGTAGCATCAGAGGAGTGAACTAGAAGACCCCGTACACATACTGCATTAGAGAGGTTGCTTTAAGCCTCAAGTAAAATGCTTTTGTTTAATAATAATGCACGGCTGTGCATTTATTTATTTATTTATTTATTGACCTTCTGTGCCACTTCAGCAGTCCTACAGGACTCTCTGAGTGTTATTCCAACATGCTGCCTGCCATATATAAACAGGTTTTTTGTTTTTTTGTTTTTGTTTTGGCAAGGTTTAGCGTATTAGTCTTACAGTCTGATACACCTTTCTGTTCTTAGAGCACCAGACTTCAGCTTCATTAGTAAATCGGAGACCCACCAGTAAGGTGGATCCTAAGAGCAGCAATACCACTATGCAAAACTTAAGAAACGGGTCTCCAAGCTGTGTCTGGACTAAAGATGGGCTCAGGATTTGAAAGACTGAAGACTGCTTTAGGAAGCAAGTGCAAACCTGAAAGGCCAGCATGATGGCAGGGTTGGTATAAGCGCAACAATTAACTTGCTGCCCTGCGCCAACATATTATATGAAATTTCCTAAGTTAACTAGCTCCAAATTTAGGAGTCCAAACCACCACATTTACTTACAATGATTTAATGGTCAGTGCATGTTGATCAGGACTCTATTAAGGTAGTTGCCCATCAAGGCTTATGTCATAATAAACCATTTTTGCTTTAAGATGCGCAGCAGTTTTTGTGTCTGCTATGCTTTGAAGGAGCAGTCTCTATATTGTGAACTAGTGTGGTTCCAGTTATAGCTCAGAATTACACTTGCCTGTTGTACCTAAAGAAACCCAAACCTCCTGTATTTAATTTTCTCAATTTTTAATTCCAATAAAGCAACATTTTTATCCCAACTTAAGTTTGAAAATTCAAAACACACACACACAAGAAAAGTAGGCAGGATATATTTATAAACAAATAATACATATCCTAATTTAGTCTTCTAGTGATGCTGTGTTTGGCTTAGTAAATAGCTATTCGGGACCCTGGAGGAAATTTATATCATCTATTAAATTTTATTTAGCACCCCTCTATCTTCTGAGAACTCAACAGATATTCTTAGGTGGTTTACAAAATCTTTGTGGCTATAAGAGGTAGAAAAATGCTTATTTTAAAAGTTGAAAAGGTGCTTAATCTGTGTGCAATAGCACATTCTGAAATTCTGTCGGACCATGGTATACCCCGAGCTTTGCAAATAGCTCACCTGGGGAATGTTGAGATAAATTGGCAGTCTGAACAATCTTGGTATATGGAATAACATTTGACATCCGTTTGCCTAGACTGACAGAATTACGTAGTATAAAAACTTTTTATCACATGGAAAGCACCTCACCTACTAATCTTGAAAGAAGCTGCACTTCTCACCAGTTTGAGAAGTATCCTGGAATACTTGGGCTATCTGAAAATAAGGACGATCCTCACACTGAATGCACAGACTACAGTGGATCCACGTCAGAGGAGGACAGAACAGACTGCAGCATCTGCTACTAGATCTTTGACAAATTTGCAGCAGTTCAGCAAAGTGCGTTTGACTTCCACCTGTGTGCTAGCGGTTGCTGGATCCTTAGAGCGATTCAGACATTGTGAGGCCTGCTTTTTATAAGTAGCATCATTTTATGCCTCCAGGGGCATTTTCTTTTCAGAAAACGTATTCAGGTTTTTAAAAACTTGATATCCTTACCAGGCTGTGGAAGGGTACGTAGAGACTAAAGGGCACGAGGCAGTGGCTAGTAGCAATTGCTCAAGGGCCTAGAGCTGCGGGATCAGTGCAGTGCGCAGAAGCCCCACCCTTAAAACTCCTACCAAAGTTCGCTTTTGTTTCTTAGCTTTCTTACCCAGTGTTTATGATTAATTCTCAGGCTTCTGATTACAAAGATGCATTTTTCCTGTTTTTTCATGTAGAGGTAATGTGTTTCACAAGTCCAGATTCTGTATCAATTCCTAGATGGATGCAAGTGCAATTTCAAATACACAGTTAGACAATAATGTAAACATAACGATCAGAGTATGACAGCCTTTGGTTAAACGCGGTAGGTAGCTGTTATTTTTGTCACCTCTGCCATTCCCAGGGACAAACCGTATGCCCGAGCACGCCTTTATTTTTATTATTATTATTATTATTATTATTATTATTATTATTATCATCATCATCTTGGCACATGCACGTGTGCTCAGCAGACACCAGGTTGCCAGAGCCAGCATCCACGAAGACCTCATCCGACGGCCGCTTCTCATCCTGTTGCAGGAGCGCCATCAAATGCTTCATACTCACGCCTGGCACGGCCGTTGTTGTTTCCCAAGAAGCAAAAGCCGGGTGGAAAAAAGGGCAAAGTAGGCAGAGGAAGTGACTCTGCAGGTGTGCCGACCCGCTCTGTGGTTGCTGCTGGCAACCCTTTGTGATTCCCTACAACAGTTTCTTCTATGTTTCAAATGCCGGCTTTTTCCTCTTTGCTTGCAAATCGTTTGAATATAATATTCCACTCCTCTGAGTTCCCTTTCTGCCATTTAGCAAAAACATCACTTAACACATGTTAGTTGATAATGTATTGACTGTAACTTGTGCAGTATTAATCGCTTTACTTTTCAGCCCCATTCCCTCTTACGATGCCATTCTTGGTTGTCCATCCATCCATGGAGATGCCAGACCTGTTCTGCATATATATCCTCTGTGCAGATGAACAGAGAACTGCAGATTTAAGCAAAATGCGATGTCCTTTCAAAGAGCGGAGTGTGCCAGCACACGGAAGTTCATTTTGGGGGAAGCCAGTTCCTGGAGAGAGCCGTCCATCCTAAGTTGGCTTTTGTGCTCCTCCTGGGGAGTTGTGGTTTTGGGGTCAGGGCTAAAAACACACTAAGATTAATCTTCTGCACTGTTCAGAGAGGTTTTTCTTCCAACATTTTTATTAAGAAGGGTTGCTGGATCCGTCTGCTTATGAGTAAAGAATCCGTTTCAGCCCAAGGTCTAAATTCCAGTGTGTGCATTCCATCCAGGGGTATGGCCAAAGGGATTGTGAAATCCATTCTGTCAAATTGTGACTATTACTGAGTGTAAGTGTACTCAAAAGTAAACAGGAAAAGCTGTTGCAGGTCTCCTCGCCTATAAGGAGAGCTGAACTACTTAGCATTCAAAATACCAGGTTTCTTTTCCCTGCTCTACTGTGGCAAAGGCACGGTCAAAAAAATGTCCTGTCAGTCCTCTTTCGGATCAGCTGTTGATTGTCAAGGAGAGCTGTTAATTGTGGGTCCCCCATGGCGTGCGATCCTGTAATTTGCTTGGAGAGTGTTTGGACTAGTATAGCGGAGTATAAATTGAATAAATGAATGAATGAATCTGGCAAATGGCTAGCAATGTGAGTGGCTGGCAGCGGTGCTGACTGACTCAGGAATTACTTTTCAGTGTCTTCTGCCTATTGGTCCCCTTTGCTGGCCTTGACTTGGTGGATCTGGTACTTCTGGACATGCACATGGTAGGCATGTCAAGAGTAGAGCTGGCTGGAGCTGGGGGTCAGACTAGATGGCCCAGGAGGACCCTTCTGACTCTCTGTTTTTGTGTCCCTGAATCCTGTTTCTCCCTACACTGGGTTCTGTTTTGGAAGGGTTTCTTTCCATAGTACTCCTAAAATGGTCCTTGTCATGCTGTATAAAGCGAATGTAAAGTGGGTACTGCATTTTTAAAAATTGCTTTCTGTTATCCTCACACGTTATCTTCTGTCAGAAATGTAGTTCTTGTTGTAACTGACTCGGACCTCTCTCCCCTGCCATGCCACAAGAACAGGCATGTATAGAATTATGGCTTCTTTTGCACTTTAAGTTACCTTATTTACTTAATCCATTCAGACAATAATTTTACGAGCTTGAGATGATTTCGGCGTAAAAGTTTTAGCGATTGATGATTAACTTCTCTAAACTTTGAAATATTTCCATGTATTTAATTAACCGGGTGCAGACAAGTCGATCTGATAGCGCGGCATAAATTGCACTGGCCTTTCTTTGTCCACTTGTTGAGCGGGCTGTCTGTGAATTTCACTTTGCTCCAGCAATTCTCCGGCCTTTGCTCTTGCTAGGTAAGGTGTGGCTGGCTGATTCAGGTTGTTCTCTCTTTCCCCTCTTACCTGAAGATTTGCATGTTTGACCTGGCAGAGTAATTGGGCCCACAGCAACCTGGGCGTGCCTCTCTGAGAAACACTTAGTTTCATGTATGAGTCATAAGCTGAAGCACAGACACTACTTCCCCAATCTACAGTAGCCATTTTAAGTGCACAAAACTGTTGGATTTCTTGTGACTGTCTAGCTTTTGGGACCCTGAAAGCAACTTAGATCAAGGTAATTTTGATTGATTTAATGTGGTAAAGGGTCTGTAAGTTGAATGTATTAAATTTAGTAGAGGATTAGATGTACCTGCTGAGTTTTTAAAAACAAACATGGCTGTGTGCTTTTGACTCAGTTAATAAATGAAACTGAGTCCATGCTTACTTGCATTTAGGAAAGAATAAAGATCAGAGAAGGTAATATAGCATGTTTCACATGTAATTATTTCGTCTGCCAGGGAAGGAAAAAATGTTTGGAGTAGTAGAACTGGAAAAACTAAAACTTCCCCTTGCAGCTCAAATTAATTTGGTTGGGTGAAAAGTGTTTGAACAGGGCTTCTCAGCACTACTGGATCATGGATAAATAAATTTGAAATGCATTTCATGTTGTTGAATGAGGACAAGAATTCAGTTGAATAAATTGTGGAAAGCCAGTGCTGTGTGCTACAAAGAAATGCACTTTAGGTATGACCTTTACTTCTGAGAAAATCTAAAATACATGTTAATAAAATAGGTGGTATTTGTGTGTGTGTGTGTGTGTGTGTGTGTGTGTGTGGGGTGCTTTAACGCATGGAATGGAAAGGCCTGCTACAATTAGTAAAATAATGGGTTGGCAGTCTGATAGTTGGTTATATTCTGCTTGCATGTACTTGAGAGAAAGGTGAAATCATCTTGCACGGGGTAGTTCCCTGTAATTCTTTATCACATCTTTGCCATGAGACAGAAATGAGTGTGCACTTGTTTTATTTTGTAAAGCTGTTGTCGCTTTGATATTTGGGTGAGAGGTTTGGAGGTGGTATTCTGCAGGACTACATCATACTGTGCGTTGGAGAACGGTTGTGTGACAACACTTGGCAGGAGCCTTGTGAGAGTGTTCATTTAGTGGCAGTTTCTGTGGAAGCCTAAGTTTAAATTCCTTGTCTCCTCAATTCAGGCTGCCAAAGCATGATTTTCCCTGAAGGATGTAAGCTAGGATTTTTGCCTCCTAGCTTTTTGTTGTTCATTTGGGCAATTGTTGTCACAGTTTGAGCTGAAGTCTTGTTTTGAGAAGGCCTACCCTCCTTATTTTCTTTTTTTCAGCTGAAAACAAAACTCGCTCGAGTTTTGGGTCAGATTTCGCAAAACAGGCGCTGCTGGAGGAAAAGCTGCCAGAAATGTTGTCAGCATGTGTGGGAATTGGATGTTAGTGTTCGTTATAGCATCAGAGTTACCGCCGTCACTATCCATATGCAAGCCTTACGTGTAAAACTCATTGTGTGTGCATGCACATGTGTGCATTTGTTCTGGGGCACACTTATTTATTTGATTTAGTTCCTGCTTTTTTTTTTCTTACAAAGACCTCAGAGTGGCATAGATCGTTCTCCTTCTGCTGCTGTCTCAATCTAATCTGCACAACAACAGCCCTGTGAGGTAGGCCAGGCTGGGAGTCTGTTACAGGCTCAAAGTTGGCTCCAGGGCTGAGTGGGGACTAGAACCCAGCTCGGCTGAGTCCCAGTCCCATGCTCATCACCCTTATACCACACTGGCTCTCTCCCTGAAGAAAGAACAGCCTGTTTGTTCATTTCTCTGACATCTTTTCAGTATCGAATATTTTATGGGGTACTATCCCCTACCTTGTGTAAATAAGGTAGATTGCATTTATACCTAGGATCAAAAGAATGGTATTAATTAACATATGGAATTGTATAACCTCTTCATCTAGGAAGAATATTGGATATTTTGTTCTTCAGCATCAGATATCCCCCACTCCCGTGTCATACAGGAAACTTCTTTGGAAACTGGCACAACAAGCCCTTTGGAATAGGGCAGGTGTGTGCATGTGCGTGTGTGTGTATCTGTGTTCAAGGAAAGAAAGCAGTGAAAGGAAGCCCATGATTCTGATTCTATACCTGAAGTAAAATGTAAAGAGCAGAACAGAATCGAATCCGCGTAAAAATATCGAAGATATCTGTTTTTGTTGATCTGAAGCTTGCAGAGCTGTTTACGTGATGTGATTTTTACAACAAGCATTAACAAGAGTATAGGAATGCCTGGATACAACAGTGTGCTCAAAGGGCAGATTTGCGGATCGGCACCCCAGGGTTGCTGTGGCTTGGAGCCACGATGTTTGCCACCATCCCGCGTCATGCTTTGGCAAACACGACCAGCCATTTGTTGCTGGTGCCAGGCCTCCTGTGCATCAACAGAGGTTTTCTGATGCTGCCTTCTGTGCCAATGTGCCAAAGTTCTGCTCTGCCCACATGTCCCAACGTTTCTGCTTGTTGCCGGGCTTCCTCTGGGGAACACAAACATGTTGTTGTGCAAGGGGGGTTCTGCTTCTGAAAAGGACTCAGTGGGGCCCATGACTTGTGCAAAAGAAGAACTTCAACAGGGGACAAAATTCTCCACCGAATTCTGCCCCGAGACTGGCTGTGCCAACATGTGTGCTCTAGAACAGGGCAGACCAATGTTCTTCTGCAAACCCTGAAAAAACTAACCGATGGCATCTGATCTAGTGGTGTCTGAGCAGGAAAGAAGTCCTGGGGCTGTGGTGGACAGCTCTATCTAAATGCCCATCCCCTGCATGGCCCCTGAATGTTTCACACGTCCCTCTTGTGGATCGGGGCCAAACTCATCAGAAATGGGTAGCAGTCTAGCTATTATGTGAAGTGTGAAAAGGGCCAACTCCATTCTGCATCGCTAGAAAAGGAACTGAAATTTAAAGGGCCAGTATCATACTGCCCTTATATAACTCTATAGGGCGACTCTGCTGTGTACAGTTCTGGTCACTGTACCTAAACAGGATATTGAATGAGTCATCACCGTGATGTGGCTGCAAAAAGGGCAAATGCTATTTGAGGCTGCATTAATAGAAGGGTCTCTTCCAGATCACGTGGAGTACTAGTTCCCCTTTACTCAGCACTGGTTAGGCCTCACCTGGAGTCCTGCATCTGGTTCACCTGGGCACGATGATGTAAGAAAGATGCAGACAAGATGCAGGCAGATGCAGGGGAGGGTTCAGAGGAGGCAGGAAGGATGATCTGGGGACTGGAAACAAAGCCCCATGAGGAGAGATGGAAAGAACAGGGCATGTTCAGCCTCAAGAAGGGAAGACTGAGGGTGGAGAGGAGAATGCTTTACAAGCACTTGAAGGGTAGTCACAGAGGGGAAGGCCAGGATCTCTTCTCGATCATCCTGGGGGGCAGGACATAGAATAACCAGTGGAATGAGAGCCAGTGTGGCGTAGTGGTTAAGAGTGTGGGACTGGGACTCCGACGATCTGGGTTCGAGTCCCCTCTCGGCCATGGAGCCAACTGGGTGACTTTGGGCCAGTCACAGACTCTCAGCCCAACCTACCTCACAGGGTTCTTGTTGTGGGGGTAAGGTGGAGGAGGAGAACGATGTAAGCTGCCTTGAGCCCTTTGTAGGAAAAAGGCAGGATATAAATCAAAAAATAAATAAATAACAGAATCAAGATGCAGGAAGCCAGGTTCCAACTGAACGCTGGGAAGAACCTCCTGACTGTTAGAGCAGTACAGCAATGGCACCGGTGACCCAGGGAGGTGGTGGGCTCTCCCACACTGGAGGCACGCAGGGTGCCTCTGAGAGGGACGGTGGCGCTTGGAGACTTGCGCTGAGAAGGGGGTTGGACCCACTCAGCTGTGATTCTATGATTGTGGAGTCAGAAGAGGGCAGCTGAAATGGGCAAAGGCTGGAGCAAAGGTTAAATATTTATATTTATGAGGAAAGTTAAATAGTTATATTTATATTATTTATATTTATATATTTATCTTGTGCTTTTCCTTCCGGGAATCTAAGGAAACGTGCACAATTTTCTTCCTCTTCATTTTATCCTCACAAGAAGCCTGTAAAGTAGATTAGTCTGAGAGTCTGACTGACCCAAAGTCGTATACCAGAGTTTCTTGCTGAGTGAGACTAGGACCTGCATCGCCCAAGTCCCAGCCTACCACTCTAAGTGCTATACCGCAAGCAAAAATTTTAGCTTGGAAAAAATGCAAGGGGAGACATGATAGAGGTTTAAAAAATTATGCACATGGCGGGGGGGGGGGTGAAGTGGATAGAAAGTCCTCCCTCCCTCCCTCTCTCTCTCTCTCTCTCTCACACACACACACACACACACATCATGCTAGGCTCCTGTGAAGCTGATTGGTGGGATATTCAGGGCAAATATTTATTTATTTAATAAACGTCTATGCTGCCCTATTCGCCGAAGCCTCGGGGCGGCTTACAACGATAAATGAATACATATAATCATATAAAAACAATATAATTGGAAACGCCCTGGCCAAACATATAAAATCAATAAATCAGCTAACAATTAAAATGCCGTTTACATAAGAAGGTCTTGGGAAATAAAAGGAAGCACTTCACACAGTGCTCACTTAACTTTGAAAGTCATACTCATAGGATGTGGAGATGACACCCAGGCCTTTAGAATTGGATTAGATGCATTTATGGAGATGAGGCTAACATGTCCTGCTTTGCTGTATGCTGCCTTCATTATCAAGGCCGTATGATAGTGCACACCGTTTGCTTGCTCGGAACACGGCCAGGAACGTGCATTTGCACTCCTGCCCTGTTGTGGCTGGACAGCTAGTTGGTTACTTCGTTTGATCCAGCTTAGCTCTTGTTGTAGTCCTGTTTTCTCAAAGATAACAAACAGCATTCATACATGCTACCCTTCGGTACAGGGGATTCTAGAGCATTGAGCAATCCAAAGGCAAAATGGATAAAACGAGAAAGGCAACATGATAAAGCAGAATCAGTAAAGACATGATTGGTTGGTGCAGCAGTGCTTCGTAAATTAAAGGATTTTTAAGGAGGCTCTGAAAAAAGCACCGTGCTAGTTGGGCGCCTGATCCCCAGAGGCAGGGAGTTCCAGAGATACGGTGAAATGTCACTGCTGCGCTGAAGACCTTTCTCCAGGTGGATGCTGACTGGGCTGTTGATCCACTTGGAAACACCAGAAGCATCCCCCATACACAGAGGGACAGATGGATTTAGTAGCTTGGGCAAAAAGAAGTGAACCGTCGAACCTCAGTAACCAGGACTTAGCTGCACCAGAGGAAGTCCTGACTGGAATCCCACCTCTTTCATTCCCCCTCCACCCCCCCATCTGCAATACGAGGAGAAGAATGTTGGCTTGCTTTACAGGGTTGTCACTCCTGTGAAGAGCTTTGAGGACCTTTAAATGCTATGCACATACTAGGTATTGTTCTCTTTCCTGTAGAAGGGGTCTTAGCACTCCTTCAGACGTTGCAGTGTCTTAGCAACCTACCAGAAGCCACATTTACATCTTCTTTTCTCGGCAAGTGTATTACCTCGCTTTATATGGGAATGTGGGTCATCAAACTGTTGAAAAGGCGTAGAGGTTATTGGGCACAAAGTGCTTTATGTGCTGTTTTCTCCTGAAAACACCACTGGAAAGATTTCAAATAAATGAACGGTGCACTGAAGATAAAATTTGGTCTTTAGGCCCTAAAACATAGTATTAGGACAACGGGCAGGTTTGTACGTGATGCTGAGCCACCACTGCAAGCAAGCTTCACAATGTGGGTTATTTATGTAACAGTGCGCAATGTTCCTGACGTGTCACCATGCTTTGTCCCCCACTTCCTTCACTCTGTCCTCCGGCCAACTCCAGCATATACCCCAGGGGAGTTTGTCTCCAAACTCTTCCCATTTCCTTGCCCTAGCCTTCGCAATGCCCTGATCGTTTCTCCTGTTTTGCTCCTGGTTTTTTTCTTTTTGCTTCTGGGAGCCTCAAAACTGCACATTTGGGGGCATACATGTATCATTTAGGTCTTTCACATGTGCACCCTGATGGCTGACAGATGTCATCTGGTCTTGTCAATTTTCTTGTATGTTACAGCTGTCTAAGGAAGTGCCCAGGTGGAACAGGCAACATACAAGGAAATTCTCAAGGAGAAGCTGCTTGTTCGCTAATATTTGACGGACCATCAAGGAAATAATAGAGGACCTATTAGTGCAAGTCAGAAGCAGTGGAAATGTGGAGGAAAGCCAAAGGCGTAAGTTTACCAAAAGAGTGTGTGCGGAAAGAGTCTCTCCCCTTAGCCGTGCAGGCTTCTGGGCTTTAACTATTGAACTGGTAGTTTTCACTGTCTTCCCCCTTTTTAAAACTTTGCCCAGTCTGCATCTAGTCCACAGTGGGGATGTAATAGTTCTTCTTCCCTTTCTGTGCCTCATTTTTGAATTGCTTACTGGTGTGATTACTGTGGGCAGCTGAATGGAACTGAGTGAATGGTGGCCCATTGGGGGAAAAGGTGTAAATATCAGCCCTGTTTGCTCTCTCTTGTTCTGCCACTGCTAAGGTTTTCATGTCTTTCATTTTTTTAAATGCTCAGTTCTTTTGGGCTTGGAAATACTCGTAGGCTGAATGTCTGGGAAGTAAATGGAATGGAAAAGTGCACAGCTGATTAATTGTCCTTTCCTCTTCCATTTATGAGAGGAAACTGTGTATAGGAAGAATAGCTCCCTTTGACAGTTGAGGCAGACGAAGGAATTGGTCAAGCAAGACTTCATGTACCAGGCAGTGGTGAGAGCACACCTGTGAAAGACCAACAAGAAAACAATAATGATAAAGTTACGAGCCCAGCTGTGCCTGTTTTCAGTCACTGGAAAGAAAAAGTAGAGAACAGCAGTGGCCCCTTCCAGACTGCCATGTCTGCACCGGCTGAATGGTAGGCGCAGAAGATTGTAAGTGGCGGGGGGCTGATTTTGCCACTCTTGTCAAGTTGCGCTGCAGCTGATCCCGGCAACCAACCCATGATGAAATCGGACTCCTGCGTTCAGATGACACAACAACTCATCAAGGTTTGAATAACCAGTAGAACGAGCTTTGATATGTCAGGGTGACTTGTTCACAAAAAATAGGCCACCTGTGAAAAGCATTATGAATTTACTGAACACAGCTACTCATTATGGCTAGCTGCCTAGGATGGGTCGTTGCGCCATGTGAACCAGGTCACTGCGTTCGCACAACACACTAAGCCACCAGGTGGAACAGCTACACAGTATGGCTTGTTAGTGGAAGAACACACAGGGTGTACAACTGATGATCAGGCTCACCATTTCCCCCTTTGTTTTTAATGCAGAGATGGTTTTTGGTGGTATCTCCCAATGACAGCCCTTCCAAAGTGCCTAAGCAACACCTTGAAACAACCATCACCTGCTCACTATTAATTTTTTGAAACATTAGGCATGAGAAAAGGTGTAAATGGGACCTTTTCAAGCTGGGGAGAGGTAATGAGTGTGGTACCAGAAGGTTCAGTTCTGGGCCCGATGTGTTTCAACATTTTTATTCTTTATTTGGATGAGAAATTCTCAAATTTCCCTGCTTAGAACTGCAGCCAAAAAAGGCAGGAAACAAATCATTTCGTACTGCTGTTTCTACCTTCATCTTCAAAATGTTCTTGGGTTCAGTGGCAGTTCTTTGGTTTGTTACTGAGTTAATGCTTGCTTCTCATTAAAATTGGAATACATTTTACTAATGTGGTTGATTCTTGGTCTACTGAGCTTGAGATGAGTCAGTTTGGCTTCTGTTTCTCAAATGCATGCTTTCATTCGCCTTGTAAGAGAAGGATGTCTTGTGTCTTTTGGCCAGAGGGGTCAGATTCCATTTAGAGAAGCTTTCCGGGGCTACTGCTTGTAACTGAACCTTAGGGGATGCAGTCGAACACTTTGGAATGGTGGGAAAACCGCAAACGTCGGGAGCTGCACAAATGGTAGTCTGGAAAGGGAGTGGGGTTTGGGGAAGGGGGACCCAGGTGGAGGGGCGGCTCTTGTAGAGCCCGGTGCAAAGAGATGCTCCAGCATGGCCAGATCGGCTTAAAACATGCTTAATTACCCCCAGACCTCTCTGGAAAGCAGGAACTCTATGGGCAGCCAGCCCTCCCATGCAAGTAAACAAGATGGTGAAACAAGATGGCAGCTTGTCCGCTCGTTGCTCTTGTTCTAGATTAGTTGCTGCTTGCCACGATGCCTGACCCTAGACCAGCTGTTGTTAGTGTGTTTGTTGAAAGTTTCAGTTTTAGGTGGCACATGAAAGAGCTGCTAATCTAAAATGAAAGCAGAGACACTCAATTATTGTCACAGATAATGAGAGGGCGAAAGGAGTATGTATGTTTGAGATTCATTGGCACTTGTTCTCACAATGTTAGACCGTGGTCTGAATGTACCCATGCTGTGGGTAAAGTCCAGATTATTAATACCATATGTGACTTCCTGTCTCTTATCTGACTCTGTATCGTCTTGTTTCCTTGTCGCTTCCAATGCACATACTGGCCCATTTTTCTTTCTCTACGTTCCCGAGTCCTTGCCAACACGTTTCAGATTTTAAAACGGATTTTGTAAAACAGTTATGCATCATGTTGACCCAAATGGTATGAGAAGGCACTTAGTTGTGCAATCTCTAGTGGTACTTGGAATGTTGGATTGCAAAACATAACGAGAAATTCAAATCTCAGAAGAGTAGGAGTTTTCTTTTGTACTGATCATGGCCTGGCCCTAATGCCTGACAGCAAGCTGAGAAGTGTCTTGTTCAAATAATGTAGAGTATTCAGAGAAGTGAGATCTTACAGGCTCCTCAAAAGTTTCAGTTCCTTCAGCAGTAGATGTCCTCTTCTTTCACCACAATTTACAGAAGTGGCTTTTAGATGTTGAAAGGTCTTTGGTTGACTGCTACCCTTGTGTGTGCTTCTGCACAAATACACAGTTTCTTTAAAAGGCTTACTTCTCCCTCCTCCTCCTCTTTTCCAGGCATTTGTTGATTGGTTAGATTTGAAACCCCATGATGAGTGGTGGTTGCATTTCCTAATATTTGTTTATTTAATTTCTGTACCACCTGTTAGTCAAGATGATTCTCTGGGTGGTTTGCATAAAGTGTACATATAAAAAAAAAAATACATCCCTTAGTTCCTGTAAGCCTTTCAATTCACTTGATCTGTCTAGAAATCCGTGCTTTAAAGAATACTAGGTTTGATTCTCCCCATGAAAAATAACTTGGAGTTATAATAGTCTTCATTCTCTAAGCAATTCAGGGTATCACTTATTTTCTGCAACTTCCTGTTTCACAGAGCCTTTTGGTGTGATACATTCTAGTGAGTGCCTTTTGTGGCAGAAAAGCATATGCTATCGCTGGCAAGAAATGTTCGTCTGACTGCAAAATAGCTTCATGCAATTGTGTAATGGTGTTGTATGCCATAAATGTAATGAGGTGTACGAAAAATACCATACAGCGCCCTTCCCCCATCCTAACTCTCCTCAAATATTCCTCACTGTTGGCTATGATAGCTATGCTCTGAGACCTAGAATATTTCCTAGAATACTCTTGTTAAAGTAGGGCATATAATATTCCTTAATACTGTAGTTTCTGACTTTTTCTAATCACATACTGACATTCCATTCCATTGGTTCTTATTGCATCCACTCCAGTTCAGGCTTGGCTTCCCATATGGCTTCCCTTGGCTTCCCTGTTTTTAATAGCATATTGTTGCGCTCGTTGGAACTGTTGGTTGCTTAAAAGCCATGCCGTTTCGCATTTGGCCTAGTGTGCCGTAGCCCTAATGAGCTGGTCTCGAGCAAGTGAGACAGAAAGATGCAGCAATGGAGACAGGAAACCTTCATCACGTGTATTTCGTAGCTGTTTGTCTGCTTCCTGTCAGTTAGACCACTAAAAGTGAAACAGATGAACCAAGATACTGCTCCTCTTGAGTTTTTCTCATGTGGGTCATTGTAGAACAGCCTCCTGAAGAAAAAGAAAGGAAATTTCCATATCATTGCCTCTTCAGTCTTACATTTAAAGTTTTGTGCAGAGTAGAAAAGGATGGGTTTGTGAGGGTGAAATGGGTTAAGGTGTGATTTGTTCTAGATACGTCCCTATCGCCCCAAAAAATAAAGCCAAAGCTGATGGTTGCCCTGCAGTTCTGCCTGTCCCTCTGGAGCAAGTCTTTTGACTTGTTCCTCTCCCTACTCGCATCATCCCATCCCTGGCTGTGGGGCCAGGCTGAAGTTCTGCCTGCTGAAGAGATGGAGAAATCCAATGATGCAGATTTCCTTTTCTCCTTGGCTTTGGGCTTTTGGGGACAGGCAGGTTCCCTAGACTAGCATTCAGTCACAAAACCAGTGATTCAGCCTCTTTTCCTCACACACGCTTCGGACCATCCTCGTTTGGTGAGAAAAAAATGTGCGTTTTGAAGCTGAAAAGATTTCTTAATTTGGTAGAAAGGGAAATAGCCAGTTCTCTGTTAGTTGGATTGCAGAGTTGTTTATCAATGTATTATTCAGGTCCTGGTTGGTTGCAAAACTCTTTCTAACAGTCCGTTAGCCATTTTTAAAAAGTTTTAAAAGATACATGCTTTGAGATTTGACTACCTAGCATTTGGAGTAATTTTTAAAACTGCATTTGTAAGTATCTCTTCCACTATCAAGAGATTGTCCAACATTACCCCAAATGCCTAACCTTCGCTTTTAAGCAATTAAATTGGGGAATACGGTGCCTTGAACAAACCAGCACCTGGATAAATAAGTCACTTTCTTTCTGTTTGCTATTCCTGTTGAAGCATGTGGCTTAATGCAAGGCATCTGGGTAAGTCCCAAAGGAAGCTTGGCATTAATTTTAAAAGACGAAGGTAGTTGACAAAAACAAGTTGTCTGCATCATTGCCTGCTTTCATCAGGACTGTTTTGGTGGATAATGGAATACAGTTTTCTCCATGGAATGTCACTAGAATCATAGAATACTAGAGTTGGAAGGGGCCAGAGGACCATAAGGCCAACCCCTTGCTCAGGGCAGGTCTCCAAATTCAACCATCCCTCTCAGATGCATCTTGAATGCCTCCAGTGTGGGAGAGCCCACCACCTCCCTGGGTCACTGGTACCATTCAACAGTCTCCAACAGGAAGTTCTTCCTGATGCTCAGCTGGAACCTGGCTTGATGTACCCTGAGCCCATTATTCCGTGTCCTTACTCTGGGATGATCGAGAAGAGATCCTGGCTTTCCTCTTTGTGGC